AGCTAACGCTAGCTAGAGCTAAGCTAAAGCTAAGCTAGAGCTAAGCTGAAGCTAAGCTAAAGCTAAGCTGAAGCTGTGCTAAAGCCAAGCTGAAGCTAAGCTAGAGCTAAGCTAAAGCTAAGCTAAAGCTAAGCTAACTCTAAGCTAAAGCTAAGCTGAAGCTAAGCTGAAGCTAAGCTGACGCTAAGCTGAAGCTAAGCTAAAGCTAAGCTAAAGCTAAGCTAAAGCTAAGCTCGAGCTAAGCTAAAGCTAAGCTAGAGCTAAGCTAAAGCTAAGCTAACGCTAAGCTAGAGCTAAGCTGAAGCTAAGCTGAAGCTAAGCTAGAGCTAAGCTAAAGCTAAGCTAGAGCTAAGCTGAAGCTAAGCTGAAGCTAAGCTGAAGCTAAGCTGAAGCTAAGCTAGAACTAAGCTAGAGCTAAGCTGAAGCTAAGCTAAAGCTACGTTAAAGCTAAGCTGAAGCTAAGCTAAAGCTAAGCTAAAGCTAAGCTAAAGCTAAGCTGAAGCTAAGCTAAGCTGGGTGAACCCAGGGGGCGCGACTGGGGGAACCGCGGGGCGGGGACTGGGGGAACCGCCCGGGGCGATTTACACTGCCCGGCCCTTTTAAGCTAAGAGAGTAAGAACCCTTCTAGGCAGAGCCTAGGTAGGATATGAAGAAGTAGTAGTAGCAGTCGTAGTAGTAGTCGAAGAAGTCGTATTATTAGTAGTTGTTGTAGTCGTCGTACTAGCAGTAGTAGTAGTACCAGTGGTAGTACAAGTAGCAGCAGTAAAGGTAGTAGTCGTAGTAGGAGTAGTAGAATAATAAGTTGGAGTTCAGATAGAAGTCGAAGTGGTAGTAGAAGTAGTAGTACTGGTAATGGTAGTGGTAGTGATGTTTGTAGTAGTGCTTAGTTACTATGTACAGCTCCGTGCCAATTTTATCATTCGTGGTAGGCTCGCGAAGCTTCCGTAATCATGCAAGCCACTGGGGTCTCCACACCTCTCAAGCCAACGGGGAGCAGCTCGACCATGGGCTTCTCAAGGACGACCGTCAGCCTCTCAAATATTGCATCGGTTGCATAACGGGGGTCGCCGGCCGATGACGTCAAACAATGCACCTATGAGTACATTTATACGTATACAGTGGAGGGAGGGAGCGTGAGAGAGATGGGGTACATATACGTTTATATAGAGGGAACATGGAGAGAGAGAGAGAGAGAGAGACAGAGCCGCACAATTACATACACGTATATATCTATACTCATATATCGAAGACACCTACGGCGAATCACCGCCGCCCCCTGCCCTTGTTCTCGAGCGCGATCGATACCCGTACCCTTGCCTGGGCGGGGTGGCAAGGGGCGGGGGGAGCGACGCGCCGCAGCCGACGGCGGTTGCACGTGTGCAGATGCGATGGCCCATAGAACATTCCAGGACGCTGTCTTCTCCGGGTATCCGCCAGTACCGAAGACGCGTGCGTTCCAATCGGCAGAGTGGCCGACCGCGCATTGGTCGTTCTCGGGCTAGAGTAGCTCGTTCGGAAGTGCGCCCACAAAGGCGCACAATCAAGCGTTTGGGGCTCGACGCGCAAAATGCGTCCTGGGTGTCCCCGGCGGGCGCCGCTGCAATCCCACGCTCGCCCCAGACGCCTGGGGTGCCGAACGCCAGGCGCGGTTGCCAGGGGCTGCTCCCTGGAAAACCCGCCTGGCGTCGCCCCAGCTAGGTCCGGGTACGTGTCGGGGGGGCACCGTCGCCGACGCGCGTTGATGGTACCCCCGGAGACGTACCCGTACGTAGTCGAGGTGGCGTTTGGCCGCAATCGATCTCGGGCGCACGCGCGGCCCCCGAGAGCTCTCCCGAACGCGGCCGCAGCGGCCCCCAGGGGAGCGTGAAATTGCAGCGACGTCTCTGCGGGCAGGCCCAAGCGCAACGGAGAGGTGGTGCGTGGTGTTCCCACATGGGACAGGCACAACCACCTCAATGATGTTCTAACCCCGCGGACACCCCCGATGCCCCCAGACGCCCCTGACGCAAACCAGGGCATGTCGCTGCAATCGAACAACCAGCCATTCAGCGTGTCGTTGCGTCCTGACGCGCGGATGCTGAACTGGCGCGCACGCGGCAGGCTGCTCGGGCGCAGTGGTCGGGAGCCTTGAGACGGGGGTCAGCCATAGCGCCCGATCTTGCAGGATCCTGCAGGGCCAGGGTCGCACTGACCCGGGTTTGGGTGCAGGATCTTGCAGGATATTGCAGGGTCCTTCGCATTGACCCGGGCTTGGGTGCAGGATCGTGCAGGATCTTGCAGGATCTTGCAAGGCCTGACCGACCCAGGTCTGTATTGACCCGGGTCAGAAGGTCCCCGAAGTGGCAAGCGCCCAATCCAGCGGACGGCCCTTTTCACCCAGGCCGACCCCGGGTAAGGATATGTTTAGGACCAATGACTTGTGGAAGCGCCTATGTGGCCGACACTTGGGCTAGAGTTTGACCAAGCTATCGGGCAAGTTGTTCCCCGAGTCCGTTTGGAAAGCCTTCGGGGAACGCGTGGGGGAGCAAGAGGTTTAAAATCGCCCATGTGTCCGAACGTTGTGGCAAGAGCTCTGCCAAGCTGTCGGACCATGCGTTCCCCCCAACGTTGCGGAAACCCTTCGGGGAACATTTGGGAGGAGGAGGACCAGGAGGAGGAGGAGGATGAGGAGGAGGAGGAGGAGGAGGACGAGGAGGAGGAGGAGGAGGAGGAGGTGTAGGAGGGGGAGGAGAAGGAGGAGGAGCATAAGGAGGAGCAGGAAGAGGAGGAGGAGGAAGAGGAGGAGGAAGAGGAGGAGGAGGAAGAGGAGGAGGAGGAAGAGGAGGAGGAGGACTAGAGTAGGAGGAGGAGGAGGTGGCATCTTGGGAGACTCTGGGGGCACTCTTGGGGCCTCCTGTGAGCTTCCTGGGAGCCTCTTGGAGGAATCTTTGGGCCCCCTTGGGCCTCTTCTCGGGGGCCTCTTTGGCCGTCTGAGGGCAATCCTGGCCCGTCCGACGCCGTCGGAAGCCGTCTAGGGGGCCTCCTCTGGGCCGACTTGAAACCCTCTTAGGGTGCTCCAGGGCCGTCTTGGAGGCTTTGTTGGGCGTCTTGGAGGCCTCTTGGGCCGTCGGGGAGCAGGAAAAACCTTGGCAACCGCGTCTTGCGATCCCTTCCGTGTCCTTCCAGGTGGCTGGTGGGATGGGCCGGAGCCCCGGGGGAGAGGTCGCTTGAGGTTTGGTTGGATCTCGTGGGAGGCCTCTCGGGGGCCTCTTGCAAGTAGTTTTGATGCCTCTTGGGGCCGTTTGGGGGCTTCTTGGGCCTCTTTGTCGGCCTCTTGCGGGCCTCGTGGGGCCTCTAGGGGGCCTTTTGGGCTCTCTTCGGGGCCTCTTGGGGCCTCCTGGGGGCCTCGGTTCGTGTTCCCCCTCGTGGGCCCTTATTGAGCCCCTCTTGGGGCCATCTTGGGGCCTTCTTGGGCGATCTTGGGCGCCTCTTAGGTCGTTTTGGGGTCCTCTTTGACAGTCTCGAGGCCCTCTTGGGGGCCTCTTGGGTGGTCGTGGGGGCCTCAGGGGCCATCTTGGAGCGTCGGAAGCGAAAAGATAGAAGAACACACGGAGCATCACTGATGTTTGCCTCTTTGGGCCCTCTTGGGGGGTCGTCTTGGAGCGCTTTTGGGGCTTCGTTGAGGCCTCTTGGGCCGTCTTGGGCCATCTTGGGCGTCTTGGAGCGCTCTCGGGCTGTCTTGTAGGCCTCTTAGACCCCCTTGGGCGCTTTGTGGGGCCCTTTTTAGACCGTCTCTGGGCCCTCCGGCCTCTTGAAAGGTCATACGAGGCAGACCAAGAACGCGCGGGAATTCCAGGAGATTCATTGGCTGACGCCGCACCGCCGACCCCTTGAGGCGGCAGTAAGAGTGAAAAACGGAGTTTGCGGAACGCGCGCGATTTCTGGGGAGTCTTGAGTTTTCAGCTTCTTGCGATTTTGTCGGGGGCGGTTGGCGGATCGCGGCTGTGCTTTTGGGCTTCTCTGGCTCTCCTGGCAGCACTTTGTTGATGCCTCTTGGGACCGTGTTGAGGCCTCTGGGGGCCTCCTTTGAGCGTCTCGGGGGCCTCGTAGGAGCCTCTTGGGGGCCTCTTGGCGTCTCGGGGGCCTCGTAGGAGCCTCTTGGGGGCCTCTTGGCGTCTTCTGCCGTTTTTTCGGGGCCGAGTGCTCCAAATGTCCATTCGGGTTCCCCCTCTGGGCCTCCTCTTGGGGCCGTCCTGGGGTTCTCCTGGGCCGTCTTAGAGGCTTCTGGGACCGTCTTGGGGCCCTCTTGGGGGCCTCTCATTGGGCTATCTTGGGTCGATCTTGAAGGCTTCTTGGGTCGTTGTGGGCTTCGTAAAAGCCCAAGAGGCGAATGTGCTAAAAATTAACGTTCTCCCTCGAGAATAAAACGATTGTTGCTTCTGGAGGGCCTCTTGGGACGTCTCTTGGTTGCTTCTTGGGGCGTCTTGGGGGCTTCTGGGACCGTCTGGAGGCAATCTTGAGCGTCTTGGAGCGATCTTTCGGCGACTCGTAGCCCTCTTGGACCGTTCGGGGGGGCCTTTCGGGGCCCTTTTGACATGTTTTGGGGCCCCCTGAGGCCCTGGGGGTGCGGCCGGCACTTTTGCCCCCCACCCCGCACCCCTTGACACTTTGCCACACACCCCTCCCCCCTCCGAACCGGCCGGACCGGGCTCCCAGGGGAAGGTTTCGGGGGGGGGGGACCATCTCACACGCCGTGACCCCAAGGGGTTGGCGGATTGAGCGCGCGGGAACGCCAGGAGATTTGAGAATGTAGGGTCCCAGCCTTTCGAATATTATAATCCCGGAGTACTGAGTAGAAGGAACAGATGACACATGACAGCCTGGATAAATCTTCATTTTGCGCCTCGCGGCACGGTGGCGGAAAATCAGATGCATATCGCCGACTAGTCACAGTTACATCGAATGCGAGGGAGACCAATAACACAGCGCGTGAGGGAGAGAGAGAGAGAGAGAGAGGAGAAGAGGGGAGAAGAGAGGGAGCGACTGGGGCGGAAGGGCTCAGGGGCTGGACGGTTGCAACTGGGGCGCAGGCAGGGGCTGAGGGTGTCGGCCCAAGCCTCTTCCCGCCTCGCCTCCTCCTCCTCCTCCTCCCCTTCCTCCTCCTGAGGGAGAGAGAGAGAGAGAGAGAGGAGAAGAGGGGAGAAGAGAGGGAGCGACTGGGGCGGAAGGGCTCAGGGGCTGGACGGTTGCAACTGGGGCGCAGGCAGGGGCTGAGGGTGTCGGCCCAAGCCGCCTCGCCTCCTCCTCCTCCTCCTCCCCTTCCTCCTCCTCCTCGTATAACAAAAAGCCGTACTCCCACGGGGTTGCCAAGCCCCTTGGGCGTTGGCCCCCTCCCGATAATCCTGCAGTCTGATCTGGGCACCGGTCCACCTCTCGTCTTCACCATCCTTCCTGATGTTCTTTCTCCCCTTTTGACATGCTTGCCCTGCGCCGTCCCCGTGGAAGGGAGAGGAGGACGAGGAGGATGGGGGGATGGCGTCCTCCAGGGGTTTGCCTCTGCACGGGGCGTGAGAGTGAGTGGCGAAGCTGTGACAAAAATGCGCGCCCCGTCCTCAGCGCGGCAACCACGAGTGCCGCTTGCTCAACATGGAGGGCCGGGGGAGGGGGGAGAGGGAATCTCAGAGCAGAGCTTAGTTCTAGGCCTCCTAGATAGGGTCGGAGTAGATAAGTAGATTGGGTCGGTGGATCGCGCCGCATGGCCGATGCATAGCCGATGCGGCTCGATGTGCAGTCCGATTTGCTTCACGTCGACGTCGCCGATGCATCGCACACGTCGACGACGCATCGCCGATGCATCGCCGATGCATCGGCGATGCGGCGCGATCCCCCAACCCCATCCACTCCGACCCTAGCTAGGAGGCCTGTATGAATGCAACATGATGCGGTTTAACGATGGTGGAGGAGGGGCTGGGAGGAGAAGGAGATCGCAACAGCCATGATGTTTCATGTCTGGCCAGAGTCAAAGCAGAGGGACTCTTTGGAAGACTCTAGGGTATCTCATGGGTTTTTCACTGGGGGCCTCGATGGAGCTCTGGGGGGGGCTCCAGGGGGCTGCAGGGGAGGGGGAGGGGGAGGGAAGCAGAATGAAGAGGCTGGCTGTGGAGAGGGAGGGATGGCCGTGGACGAGGAGATGGCGGGGACTGTCCGTGGATGAGGATGTCCGTAGATGAGGGTGTAATGGAAGGGATGGCTGTGGAGAGGGATGTCCGTGGATTGGGAGATCTGGGGAGGGGAATGGAGAGGGGGATGGTGGTGTGGAGAGACGCAGTACTCCCTCGTCAGGCATCCCGTTCACCCCCCCATTCGTCTGTCCTCGGACTCCTCCTGCTTTTCCTCTTCCCTCCGCTCCTCTGCCTCGTACCACTTCTTTCTATGTTCCTCCAGCCTCGTCGCCCACTCCTCTTCCTCTTCCTCCTCATCTGCCTCCTTCCTCCTCCCTCTCCTCCTCCTCCTCCTCCTCCTCCTCCTCCTCCTTCAAACTCCGGGTCTCTCTCCTCTGCCTCTTCCTCCTTCTTCTCTTCTTCCTTCTTCCCCTCCTCTTCCTCTTCCTCCCTCCCCTCCTCTTTCCCCTTGTTGCTCTCCAGTCGCAGCTCTAGCAGTAGCATATCGTAGGTAGTAGGTAGTAGGTAGTAGGTAGTAGGTAGTAGGTAGTAGGTAGTAGGTAGTAGGTAGTAGGTAGTAGTAGCAGTAGTAGTAGTAGTAGTAGTAGTAGTAGTAGTAGTAGTAGTAGTAGTAATAGTAGTACGTAGTAGTAGTAGTAGTAGTAGTAGAGTAGTAGTAGTAGTTGTTAGTAGTAGTAGTAGTCGTAGTAGTAGTAGTATTAGTAGCAGTAGCAGTAGTAGTAGTAGTAAGTAGTAGTAGTAGCAGTAGTAACTACTAGTAGTAGTAGTACTAACTACTATATACTACTACTACTACACTACTAGTAACTAGTAGTACTAGCAGCAGCAGCAGCACCAGCAGTAGTAGTAGTAGTAGTAGAGTAGTAGTAGTAGTAGTAAACGTAAAAGTAGAAGTAAGCGTACAAGTAGTAGTACACATACTAGTAGTAGTAGTAGTCGTAGTAGTAGTATTGGTAGTAGTAGTAGTAGTCGTCGTCGTAGTAGTAGTCGTAGTAGAAGAAGTAGTAGTAGTAGTAGTAGTAGTAGTAGTAGTAGTCGTAGTAGTAGTAGTAGTAGTAGTAGTAGTAGTAGTCGTAGTAGTAGTAGTAGTAGTAGTAGTAATAATAATAGTAGTAGTAGTAGTAGTAGTGGTAGTAGTAGTAGTAGTAGTAGTAGTCGTAGCAGCAGCAGCAGCAGCAGCAGCAGCAGTAGTAGTAGTAGTAGTAGTAGTAGTAGTAGTACGAACAGTATGAGGCATAGTCGTCGTAGTAACAGTACTACAAGTAGTAGTAGTAGTAGTAGTAGTAGTAGTAGTAGTAGTAGTAGTAGTAGTCGTAGTCGTAGTAGTAGTCGTAGTAGT